CCAACAATTCAAAATGGTAACATAAATAATAAAATCTCTCTTCATAGTGGGATTTATACCATCAAACTAATTGTAAGATAAAAGTACATAGAGAAGACTGTGGAAGGTTTAAAAGCTTGCCAAATTATTCCACCACCCAAATTCAGTTTAAACTGAACTATCTACTGACAACTTGTGCCCTCAGAGGAATCTTGAATACGTCTGGTAGCACTGAAGCTGTATTGACTAATATTTTCTCAGCAGACATCAGCCTGAAAAGTGCACATGTCCAAGTCAAAATTAGTATCTCTGCACAAGTCTTCTTTATGAAACATAGTATGTTCCAAAAGTATCTTACTTTTATAACCTTTTTCATACGTCTATACAACTTGGACATATGATGCAGTATTCTTAATTACAGATTAATAAAAATATAATTATTGAAGCCTTGCAAATACAGATTCTACAAGTTTCTAAGCAATATGTTACCTTCAAAGTAATGTTCTTGAGTAAGGTGTCTTCCAGAACAGCTTGTAGTTTCTGGTTTATTTCCAAGGATAGATCCAACGTCATGTGGGAATCAGAAGGATGGGAACTATAAACAGATGCCATGATACCTCCTCTTTTTGATAGCTCTATCTATTGGTGCAGAGTGATAACACTTGTGTTAGTAAATCTATCAATAATATTTGAATTCAAGTCAGAGACACTTCCTATAATTAAATATGACATGTAATAATTAAAAATCATCTCTACAAGAATAAACATTTTAAAAATAAATGAAGTAAAGTTTATATCTACATCGGGTATGGATCTAGGAGGTCTGGACTTCCCACCCCACTCCCATTTTTTGCCATATATTAATAAAAAAAAACCATCCATACTTCCCTACACTACCATATTGTATAAAAAGAAAACAACATAAAATATCAGTATTTATGTCTGATTAGGCAGCTAATTACCATAAAATCTTTTTACAAGTTTTCTCAAGTCTGCAGCAATACAGTTAAGGCCTTAGCCAATAAATGATAATTTCTAAGCTAATACAACAATATCAATTAAATATTTCCACAGTAAATTTTCATGTCTGCTGAGGTTATTGTTGATCATTTAGTTAAAAAAAGCATCCCAGATAACTTATCGTGTCTTTGTACGGGAACCAACGATATATAATATATGTATTTACAGTTTTTTTTATGTACTAATGTGCTTATGTGACTGTTAACTCTTGTGATGTTTATTTAGTTGGTGTTTTGTAAAGTTACGAGTGTTTTTATCAAGTTTCTATCAATGCTAGTCAAGAGAAATTAGTGCCTTATGCTCTGTTTTTGTACGCAGCAAAATTTTACACATTTTTTTCAATCACTTGCACATATTTTATAAATTTCAATCTGTATAAGTATTGTGTTACTGTGAATGGTGCAAAGTTTTAACCAAAATCTACAGTACTTTTCTTGACTTTCTAATTAATTTTATTACTAAAGTTACTGGGAATGTAAAGTTAAAAGATAAAGTAAACAATTAAAATAATTGAAATTTATAAGTAGTGCTAGTAAGTGTTTAGTTGGATCCCCACCCTTTAAAGAATTCTAGTTCCAATCCTGCATACAGAGAGCGTGTAGAAATGTTTGGATTAATCAAAGCTGATATACAGTATATGTAATAAGCTTGATCGTAACACTCTCAACATAGATGTAGACACACTGAAAGTTGTAAAGTGTGTGCAATATCAAAAACTTATATTGTGCAAAAAAAAAAAAACACACTGAAAAATGATGATCTAAAAAATTACCAGCAAAAAGCTTCATTGACCAACAATGTATGTTAAACATGTATCTTTGGAACAAAGACGATTCTACCCATGGGCATTCCTACACAGGTTTACAACAGTTGTGAACCCACCTTGGAACAGGTGTTTTATTTAATCAGATGACACCTCACATGATTGACTCTTAATAACAATTCAATATGGTGGATACTTTCTGTTGACCCACCATATAGATTCTTCTTTCAATCTAAACTTTTATCTTACCTAGTAAAGTTAATATCTAATAAACAAAGAGATATACAAAGGCTGTGAACTTAAGCCTTGTTAGTCTTAAAACAAATCTTACTATTATCAATAACCTTATCAAAACTCATCAATATTAAAACAGGAAATACAAAAATCTAAGAATTATATTTTAATATACAGTGTTTCAAAAACATTTTTCTCCTTAAAGGTTTTTTTTTCTTGTAGTTAAGCACAAAACTACTCAATGGGTTATCTGTGCTGTGCCCATCACAGGTATCAAAACCCACTTTTTAGCATATAAGACCATAGGCATACCACCGAGCCACTGGGGAACGCCTGAAAAATTAATACTTCTTTTTCTAAATGTGGGTTTTATCATGGTTTGATCTAACTCAGAGGTACAAAAACATAAAAAATATTAACTCTGAAGGTAAAATGAGCAGCTGGCAATCAGTGATAAAACAACATGTACTGAAGTAAATATTTTAAAATATTGATTTACAAAACTAAGAGTCAATTTTATGAGTATCATCTATTTTTGGCATATTTTATTATTAATTTCTGTAGACTTATTACACTATATATTGACCTAAAACAACAAAATGATCATTATCCCAATGTGATAACAGTTCCAATCACCATGATAGGACTTACCAGAAAACTCAAAGATGACTTGATGATTTTACAAGACCAACTCAAGCTATTTCTTAATGTTTCAAATTATGTTATTTAAAAAATTGTTTATAAATCAACTCCAAATAGAAGATTACTTTAAAAAAAAACAGAACAATTACCTTTCCCTTTTTTCCAGATGCATGCTTGAAAAAGATCCCAAGATATTCAGTTACATTACATAAGGTTTTGTTAATTATCATGCAATATAATATTCATAACAACTTTGAGTTTAATCTATCGCCTGACTTTGCACGCGTATAAAAATAAACATTTAATAAAACCAAAGCGTTTATTAAGTTACCACATAATACAGTATTTCATATTGGTATTGTAACAACTAAATGATAAACACTTAGCAAAACAAATAGTTAATAAAACATCCAAGGTCTTGTTAAATGATCACGAATACTTAATGGTTAATTATTGTTAAAACTAAATCAAATCATATGTGAGTTTTGTGTGTGTGTATATATATATATATATATATATATATATATATATAT